GCGGGATTCACAGCAGATATGTAGGGATGGTTCAACATTAGAAAATCAATTAACGTAATCCACCATATAAATAAAACAAAAGAACAACATGATCTTATCAATCGATGCAGAAAAGGTGTTTGACAAACTCCAACACCCATTCATGATAAAAACTCTCAACAAAATAGGAACAGAAAGGACATTCCTCAACATAATTAAGGGCATTTATACAAAGCCAAAAGCAAACATCATTCTCAATGGAGGGAGACTGAAAGCATTCCCCTTGAGAATGGGAACCAGACAAAGATGTCCTCTGTCACCACTCTTATTCAACATTTTGCTGGAGGTCCTAGCTAGAGCAATAAAACAAGAAAAAGCCATAAAGGGCATCCAGATTGGTAAGGAAGAGTTAAAACTATCCCTATTCACAGATGATATACACAAAAAACCCCAAAGAATCTACAAGAAAAACACTGGAACTAATAGAAGATTTCAGCAAAGTAGGAGGATATAAGATAAACATACAAAAATCAGTAGGATTCCTCTAAACCAACAAAGAGAACTTCAAAAACGAGATCACAAAATCATTACCATTTACAATAGCCCCCAAGAAGGCATAGTACTTACGATGAAATTTAACCAGGGACCTAAAAGACCTATACAAAGCAAATTACAAAACACTACTGCAAGAAACCAAAAGACACTACATAAGTGGAAAAACATACCATGCTCATGTATAGGAAGACTCAACATTGTGAAAATGTCAGTTCTACCCAATGCGATCTACAGATACAATGCAATCCCGATCCAAATTCCAACAGCATTTTTTAATGAGATGGAGAAACAAATCATCAAATTTATATGGAAAGGGAAGAGGTCCCAGATAAGTAGAGTATTACTGAAGAAGAAGAACAAACTGGGAGGCCTTACACTACCTGACTTTAGAATCTTCTATACCACCATGGTAGTCAAAACAGTCTGGTACTAGAACAACAACAAATACATAGACCAATGGAACAGAATTGAGAACCCACATGTAAATCCACCCATCCATGAGCAGCTGATATATGACAAAAGCCGAAAGCTTGTTAAATGGGGAAACAAATGGTGCTGGCATAACCGGATATTAATCCGTAAAAAAAGAAACAGCACCCATACCTCACACCATACACAAAAGCTAACTCCAAATGGATCAAAGACCTAAATATAAAATCTAAAATGATAAAGATCATGGAAGAAAAAATACGGACAATGCTAGGGGCCCTAATACATGGCATAAATAGTATACAAATCATAACTAAAAATGCACAAACACCAGAAGAAAAAGTAGATAACTGGGAGCTCCTAAAAATCAAACACGTATGCTCATCAAAAGACTTCACCAAAAGAGTAAAAAAGAGAACTGACAGACTGGAAAAAAAATTTTGGCTACGACATAACTGACAATGGTCAAATCTCTAAAACGTATGAGATACTGTAAAACTTCAACAACAAAAGACAAATAAGCCAATATAAAAACAGGTAAAGGATATGAACAGACACTTCACCAAAGAAGACATTCAGGTGGCTAACACATGAAGAAATGCTCGTGATCGCTAGCCATTAGAAAAATGCAAATCAAAACTACATTGAGATACCATCTCACCCTGACAACAGTAGCGCTCATTCAAAAAACACAAAATAACAAATGTTGGAGAGGTTCTGGGGAGATTGGAACTCTTATGCACTGCTGGTGGGAAAGTAAAAAGGTACAACCACTTTGGAAAACGATATGGCACTTCCTTAAAAAGCTAGAAATAGAAATACCATACTTCTAGGAATACACCCTAGAGAAATAAAAGCCGTCACATGAACAAACATATGCGCACCCATATTCATTGCAGCACTATTCACAATAGCAAAAACATGGAAACAACCTAAACACCCATCAACAGATGAACGGATAAACAAATAGGGTACATACACATAATGGAACACATATGCAATGATGAAGAATAATGATGAACCCTCGAAACATCTCACAACATGGATGAATCTGGAGGGCATTATGCCGAGTGAAATAAGTCAGTCACAAAAGGACAAATATTGTACGAGATCACTACAATAAGAACTCAAGAAAAGGACTGTACACAGAAAAAAGCACTCTTTGATGGTAAGAAGGGTCAGGAGGATGGGGAAGGGAAAATCACTAACTAGATAGTTAGACTAGATAGTAGACAAGTGTCAACTTCAGTGAAGGGAAAGACAACAGACAATACAGGGGAAGTCAGCGCAACTGGACCAAAGCAAAAGCACAGAAGTTTCCTAGACACAGCCAAACACTTTGAGAGATACAGTAGCTATGGCTGGGGCCTGGGGACCATAGTATCAGTGAACACCTAGGTTAACTGGCATAACAGTTTATAAAGAAAATATTCTACATCATCCCACTTCAGTCAGTAGCATCTGGGGTCTTAAAAGCTTGTGAGCGGCCATCTAAGATATTGGTTCTATTGGTCCCATTCCACCAGGAGCAAAGGAGAATGAAGAAAACCAAAGACACAAGGAAAATACTAGCCCAAAGAACTAAAGGACCACATGAACCAGAGACTTCACCAGCCTGAGACCAGAAGAACTAGATGGTGCCTGGCTGCCACCAATGACCACCCTGACAGGGACACAACAGAAAGTCCTGGATGAGCAGGAGAAAAATGTAGAGAAGAATTCAAATGCATGTAAAAAGTCCAGATTTAATGGTTTGACAGAATCTGGAGGAACCTCAGAAACTACGGCTCTCAGACACTCTGCTAACCCAGAACCGAAACCATTCCCAAAGCCCACTTTTCAGACAAAGATTAGACAGGCCTATAAAACAAAAAAAATAACACATGTGAGGAAGGTGCTTCTTAGTTCAATCAAATATACAATGCTAAACAGGCGGCTCCTGTCCAAAAGCAAGATGAAAAGGCAGGAAGGGACAGGAACTGGACGAATGGACACAGGCAACCTGAGGTGGAAAGGGGGAGTGTGCTGTCATATCGTGGGGATTGCAACCAATGTCACAAAACAGTATGTGTATAAATTTTTGAATGAGAAATTAACTTGAGCTGTAAACTTTCACCTAAAGCACAATTTAAAAAAAAAAAAGTACTCAAGAGAAATACTTTTAGTGGAATGCTGATATTAACACTCTATACTAGGGAATTAAATAACAAACATTAGAGTGAAAATTGATGAAATAGAAAGTTGAAAAAATAGAGAAAATTAATGAAAACAAAAGTTGATTCTTTGAAGGAATTAGCAAAATTGACAAAACTTTAGAGAGCTTCAGCAAGGAAAAAAAAAAAAAGATTAAAGACACAAACTAGAAAAATCAAAAATGAAAGAGGGAACTATTAACCTTACAGAAAAAAAAAAAAAAAAGGATTATAAAAGAATACTATGAGGAATTGTATGCCAACATGTAAGACAAAGATTGGACTGGACTGTGGGACATAAAATGATACTCGTGAAGAGGGTGCTTCTTAACTCAAGTAGATACATGAGACCAAAAGGGCAGCTTCTGTCTGGAGGTGAGATGAGAAGGCAGAGAGGGTTAGGAGCTGGTTGAATGGACATGGGAAATCACGGGTGGAAAGGAGGAGTGTGCTGTCACAGTATAGGGAGAGCAATTAGGGTCACATAACAATGTATGTATAAATTTTTGTATAAGAGACTAACTTAAAATGTAAACTTTCACTTAAACTACAACCAACAAAATAAAATGGTATAGCCACTCTGGGGGAAAAAAAAAATGGGCATAGGATGTAAATAGGCCGTTCTCCAAAGAAGATATACAAATGGCCATTAAGCACATGAAGAGATGGTCAACATCATTAGCCAGCAGGAAATGGAAGTCAAAACCACAATGATATACCATTCCTACCCACTAAAATGCCTATAACCAAAAACAGAGATAACATCTAGTGTTGGCGAGGATTTGAAGTTAGAACGCTCATACATTGCTGGTGAGTATGTAAAATAGTGCAACCACTGTGGACAACAGGGCAGTTCCTCAAAGGTTAAACACAGAATTACCATAAGACCCAGCAATTCCACTCCTAGGTATATATCCAAGAGAAATGAAAACATATGTCCATGTAAAAACTTGTACACAAATATTCACAGCAGTATTATTCATAATAGCCCAAAAGTAGAAATGACTCAAATGCCCATCAGCTGATGAATGGATAAATAAAATGTGGCACATCTATATAATGGAATATTATTCAGCCATAAAAAAGAATGAAGTACTAACATATGCTACAACATGGATGAATCTTGACAACCTTGTAAGTGAAAGAAGCCAGTCACAAAAGACGAGATAGTGTATGATTCCATTTATATGAAATGTCCAGAACAGGCAAATCTAAAGGGACAGAAAATACTTTAGTGGCTGCCTAGGTTTGGGGGGTGTTGACAAGGGGAGGAGGTGGTGACTGGCGATAAATGTGAAGTGACTGCTTAATGAGTACAGGAGTTTCTTTTACAGGTGATAAAAATGTTCTAAAACTGACTGTGGTGATGGTTGTACAACTCTGAATATACTAAAAATCACTGAATTGTACACTTTAAATGGATGGATCATACGGTATATGAAATATATCTAAATAAAGCAATTAAATATAAAAAAAAGATTCTATGGCAAAAAAACTTTCCAATAACATAATTCACAAAGGCAGCATATGTCAGTGAATGACAAAAAATATAAGCAATACTTTGCTGTACACTTCAGTGAAGTATCTTTTTAACTAATAAATTGTTTTATCAAAATTATTTCCTAAATAAAACCATGAAAATAAATTTCAAAATAATAAGTTGCTTAGGAGAAGCAACTTGATTTCCAGATTTATAAATCATATACCTCTTAAAGTGTGACCTTCCTTCTAAGGTATTGTTTTCCTCTAACACAAGAGGAATTGCTCTTCTGAAGCACAGTACAATTCTACAACGTAGAGAATATTAAAGAGCTAAAATAAGGAAAGAAGACCAAACAAACCTACATCGGGTTCTAGAGTCACACAACGCTGAAACGCCTTTGCTGAACCTCCATAGTCTTCCAGGGCCAGGTAGGCACAGCCCAGAGAAAACCACACCCCGAGCTGCAAAGACCAAACATTAAAGTCATTTAAACACATAGATACATTTATAGGATGCAATCGGAAAATTATTTAAGATATGACCAACAAATACACTACTATAACGAATGCAGACCTATATAATATTTGCCTTACAGATTACATTAAATGTAGGAAATTTAGTAATGAAGACGAGATTTTTTCCATATAATTTTCAAAGCTAATATAACACTGAAAGCACGTGCAATATCACTGTACATCTTTTAGCTGAGAAGGTTCTTTGTGTTAATGTAAATCCAGGAATGCAAGGAGGAGCTCTGTTTATAAACTTTTACATGGCAGCCTGATCTTATAAACCTAGGATTAACCTGACATTTCTTCTGAGTATCTACTAAAAAGTACACAGAGTATCAGCAGAATCCCAACTGATGAATATACTACCCTTAAAAAGAAACTTAAAAGAAAAAATTTCTGCTTTCACCTGCGAGTTAAACCAGAAGTACTTCTGCAGTTTAACCAACAGCCAAACCACCCTAGCATAGTCGGTATCTCTTTAGGCAGGCCTGGAGGTAATTTAGAAAAAGTAGGCTCATAATCTACCAGTCTTTCAAAATGCAAAGCCTGATGTGAGTCAAAGAGATCTGTAAACACTGAAATTGAGAAAACAGGTAAATTAAGAAGTGGCTATTCAAATTACAAAGGAATTCTTTATATCACAGAGTTTCCTTAAAATTCAATAGCCCTTATCAAAAGGAAGATAAAATGATAAAAATTCAATGAAATTACTCATAAATGTAGCTATTTACAATTCAAGATTGTTTTCGTTTCAGGCTTAGGTAGTAAAGCCAGCCATAGAATGAAGTCAACTTTCTTAATGACTTCCAGTACAAAGGCAGGGAGCCAGCCAACAGATTTGGTTGAACACTTTGGGGAGGGAAAGGAAATGAGGTGCTGTTATCTGTCCACAACCTTTTTGCAGAGGCAGAGAAGGAAGCTGTCCCCACTTTCCTCCTCCCCCAGCCATTCCCACAAGATTTGTTCCAAGTGGCTAGCTGAGGCCTGAAAGGTCTTTAAATCAATAAAAATTTTTAGCCAATAATTAGAGATAAGGCTTAAAAGCAAACATCCTTGGGCAATTTAACACTTTGCCTTGAACTCACAGGAGGCTATAAATAACTGCTATTAGGAGCCTTTATGGAGAACAGACTTTGTTAGAGGGATAGGTACTGGCTGAAAAGAGGGTGAGCTGTGTGTGCTGGGAGCTAGGAGATGCAGAAGTACTAGGTTGAAACTAAAAGACACAAGTTCACTTTTCCGAATCAAAGGACTTCCAGCAACTCAAAATTAGAATCAAATGAAAAGAGAAGAGTTTTAACGCACCAAACCACACACCCACTAAAGATGATACTTTCTAAGAAGACTTAAAGTCTGATGCTAATTAGGGTATAAGAAACACGCTCTCCAACTTCCAAACACACCGAATGTTTAAAAAAAAAATTGATGTAGCATATTTCATTAACTCTAAGGTGCACCTTTTTTTCAGAATTTAATATCTCTAAAATGCATCTTAAATATTAATGGCTTGTCGCTGAATTACATATGAAGAATGTTGAAAAAGCAAACAATTTGTTACATATGTATTTACCACAATTGAAAACAAAAATTTAAAGAAAGTGAAGGCAAAATAAAGATGGATAAAATTTTTTAAAATGTCAGAATTTATTGACAGAATTTTTTTTTCCTATCCAAAGCAGTACTTAAAATAAAGGTGACTCTTACAATTGATGGCAACTTGGATCCAATAAATTATGGTAACACGTTTACTTAGAATGAAGAACACTTCATTCCAGGACTAAATCAAGAGCAATGAGAAATGCCTTCAAGGTACTCAAAAGCCACATGCCCTGCTTGCTTTCTCCATCAGCAAAGAACTTTTGCCAATACTATTTTGCATGTGTTATAAAAAAAAACAAAATCCACAGCCATCAAGTCAGTTCCGACTCTTGGAGACCCCACAGGGTTTCCAAGGCTGTAAATCTTTACAGAAGCAGACTGTCACATTTTTCTCCCTCAGACCCGCTGGTTTCGAACCACCGACCTTTCAGTAAACAGTCGCTTTACCAACTGCACCACCAGGGCTCCTTACATAAAAAAAACAGGCAGTGTAAATTCAAGACATAAATAAAGAACTTCATTTTTTAATCAACCTGAAAACAAAATTTGTAAAGGTTACGTCGCTAAAATCTACTCTAAAACAGGCTGGTAATGAGATTACTATTCACCTTCAAGTTTTTGTAACAAGTTAATGTTTTGCAACCAGTGTCTTGAAATTGAAGCAAATTTCATGAAAATCAGGCAGGTGACCTAATTTAATACATAGTATTATGGTTCTCTTTTATTTTTACCACTGGTTATTGTTGTTACTTGAAAGATGAACTGCTAGATTTTCATCTATTGATAACATGCAATTATAATGGGTTATACAAACCCTGTTCTTTGAAATCATGTAATGGCTCTCTCTCTTTTTAACTCTGTTTTGTTGTTGTTAGGTGCTGTTGAGCAGATTCCGATTCACTGCAACCATACGTACAATAGAATGAAACACTGCACGGTCCTGCACCATCTTCACAATCGTTGCCATATTTGAGCCCATTGTTGCAGTCAGTGTGTCAGTTCATCTCGTTGAGGGTCTTCCTCTTCTTCACTGACCCTCTATTTTACCAAGCATGATGTCTTTCTCCAGGGATTGGTCCCTCCTGATAATATAACCAAAATATGTGAGACGAAGTCTCACCATCCTTGTTTCTAAGGAGCATTCTGGCTGTACTTCTTCTGAGACAGATTTGTTCATTCTTCTGGCAGTCCATTATATATTCAATGATCTTCACCAACACCATAATTCAAAGGCATCAATTCTTCTTCGCTCTTCTTTATTCACTGTCCAGCTTTCACATGCATATGAAGCAACTGAAAACCCCACGGCTTGGGTCAGGCACACCTTAGTTCTTAAGGTGATATGTTTGCTTTTTAACACTTTAAAGAGATTTCTTGCAGCAGATATGCCCAGTGCAATGTGTCATCTGATTTCATGACTGCTGCTTCCATGGGTGTTGACTGTGGATCCAAGCAAAATGAAACCTTTGACAAGTAAGAACTTTTCTCCATTTATCATGATGTTGCTTACTGGTCCAGTTGTGAAGATTTTTGTTTTCTTTATGTTGAGGTGTAATTCATACTGAAGGCTGTAGTGTTGGATCTTTATCAGTAAGTGCTTCAAGTCCCCTTCACTTTCAGCAAGCAAGGTTGTGTCATCTGCACAACGCAGGTTGTTCATGAGTCTTCCTCCAATCTTGACGTCACATTCTTCTTCATACAGTCCAGCTTCTCAGATTATTTGCTCAGCATACAGACTGAATAAATACAGTGAAAGGATATGACCTTGATGCACACCTTTCCTGAAGTTAAACCATGCAGTATCCCCTTGTTCTGTTCGAATGACTGTCTCTTGATCTATGTACAAGTTCCTCATAAGCACAATTAAGAGTTCTGGAATTCCCATTCTTTGCAATGTTATCCATAATTTGTTATGATCCACACAGTGGAATGCCTTTACATAGTCAATAAAACACAGGTAAAC